AAACAATCAAATATCATTTCTGAACGAGACGAAAATGTCCCATTACATATTAGGCCAATATCATTACTAGTGAAAGACACCTGTGGTAGATTGTAATCTCCGTATAATAAAAAATTAGTATTAAAAGTATATTTATTAAATAGCCACTCAACCGTTTCAGTATGTACTGTATAGCTATTTAATGGACTATGTGGTGCAGTGGCGTAATTTGGAATTGGTTTTGGAGTGAGATTGGGATATAAATTTATACTATCATTCTAGTGGGGCTATGCCCCCACATCCCTTTTAACCATTAAATCTCATATATCTCAATATTATATTAATTTATTGTTATAAATTAAATGGTATTATGATGATTGTAAAAAATGTTAATTATTAATTATTAACTTTTTCTAACTTTGTACTTACAGTTTGTTCTACAGAAATTATTGATCTAATTCTTTGTTTTTCCTAAGAAAATATCCTTGTGTTATTGATTTTTAAATTTATAGATATGGGTATTCCATAATAATTACATAGAAATAAGAAATATATAAATGTATGAAGATTTAGATTATTTCAAAAAATAGGTCAACTTTATTACGACAAGTTTTTTGCTAGGTTGGTCTTAATCTGAATTACATTTTAACAAGCTATTTTCTTGATCAGTTTCTTTAAATTTTTTTGAGAAAAAGAAATAAAAGCATTCGACTGCCTTTTCATTTTTAATTTAATAATTGAATATGTAATTTAGTAATATATTAAATTTACATTATCGCACAATAGACACACATCCACAGTTAAAGAAAAAATAATATTATTTTATTATATATAATATAAATAATAATAGACATTGGTGTTGTACTATTGCTGATCGTTTACATTTTATAATATTTCAAAATAGTTAATACCAGTATTGCCAGTGATAATTTTTTTAAAAAGCTATGAGTACTACCACAAAAGGCCGGAAATCAGCTGAAAAAAATCGATTAATAACAAACATATAATGCAAAAATAAAAATATTAATACTATTAAAATTGTTGGCAATTTCCATTTTTTTATTTAGTAAAGCTATTAATCTTTTTATCATATTTTACAAGTAAATAATATTATTAGAACATTAAATATAATAAATAAAGATATTAAATAATCATAATTCATAGTTTATTAAATTTAATGTTCTGAGCAGTCCAACATTAAAATAACAAACAAGGAAATAAAATAATAAGTAATAAATATAACAAAACAAAATTAATAGATAATACTTAAAAAATGTTAAAATAGTCTTTTGAATCACGAATCTACAATCGTGAAACGAACTAAGATATACTAGTCCGAGGTGTACAGTGATAACTAGATATGATATATATTAACTAGATATAAATATAAATCCGATTCGTAGTTAACAACCACCACAGATAAATATAATTTGTTATAACAATCATAAATATGGTTTATCATATGGAACGATAACGAAAACGAAGGGAAAAACTCATGATATCAATGTCGTTGTGTAATTTTATACTTATATACACAAACAATTAATTAAAATATATTATATACAACTTAAATCAGAATTAAGCTAGTTAAAAACAATTAATGGCTAGAAAAAATGCTAAGAGCAAGATTGTGTATTTTTTCAGTCAGATTGAAATGAAAAAGGCCAGATTTAGCCTTAAAAAGGACAGATTTGGACTGTTTAATACCTTGTACTACTGAATAAAATAATATAATAATACATTGTTTGTCGACGTCGTCGAAAGCAATTTCCTAGGAAAATAAACCAAGTAATGCTATAATGCTATAAATAGTCGAAAATAAGACCCAATATGTATAGTTATTATAGTAATATGTCAACCACTGTACTCATTCCATTAATATTAATGATTATAATAAGAACTTTTAGATTACATAATAAATAATTGATAAATAACTAACATTAATATTTGTTTTAGAAAAAATTTCAATGTTTCACGTTTTTGTGAAATATTGCATGCTTTAAGCACTAAACAAGAGTGGTAAATTGTAGATTTATCAGTGTTATATTTTAACTCTGAGCTATACAATTTTCTTGTCATATATTATAATTGTTGAACTATCGTAGTTTTATATTAGTAAAATAAAAAAAATATCAACTATGATAATATCCATGTATTCTTATGTCTTATCTTAAAATCTTTTAAAGCTTAGTGCTTGCGGAAATTTAATTATAATTATTCTAAAAAAAAAAGCGTCTGGGGGGATATATCCCCATATCCCCCCAAATTACGCCACTGATATGGTGGTATATAACAGGCACCTATTATACACTTATCGTTATTTCCCCATTTAATCAGTACAAACAATTGTTCAACACTATCAGTTTGTATATTAATAATCTCGGTCTCAAAACGTTTATTCACAATGATAGCTACTCCACCACCACTAGTACAATTATTTGTCTTATCGCTCCGATCTTGACGGAACACATTATAGCAATCAAAGCCAAGTTCGGCATCTAATATATTAGAATTTAACCAGGTTTCCACAAATACAAAATAATCATACTTAAATAGTGAAATATTACATATTAAAATACTTAACTTAGTACGTAAACCCCTTACATTTTGGTAATAGCCTTATTACAATTTATTCTTATCAATTGATTTTTTATTACAATAGTTAGGTACACTTAATTCTAATATTATTCTTAAAACTACTTAATTTACATATGTAACATATACAAAACTGACCATGATTTGCGGGCGTATAACATATTAGTTTTTTGGAACGATCTTTGGCACACCATTAACATATTTGATGATTTAATTGAAATCACCATCTGCGCGTTTCTGTCGGAGTATATCTCTTAAAGATTTCATTTGTGTTTGTTGGTATTGGGTCAAGTCGGCATTTACCCAGACGTTCTTCCATTTTTCAAGTGAGCGGAGCTTGGATTTATTTCTTAATAATAATCTTGGTTCATTAGCATCATTAAATTTTGAAAGTAAAAGCCAGAGCGACCAATATCAATGCGTTTGGCTCGGACAATATTAAGGTCGAGCACAATATCAGACATAAGATCTTTTGCAACTGTTAAAGATGTATTATCTGATTCGTTTGGCAATTCTAAGATATTAAATACTATAATATTTTTACTTTTGACTAATCTATCTTGAGCTTCATTTATTACTTCTTCTGACGGTAATGTACAATTAACATTGCTCGAGGATTCGAGTATTGTAATTTTGCTGTGAAGGCTACTTAATTCGTTTTTTAGAGTTGCATTTTCTTTTCTTAAATTGCTGATAGCCAATAATATGCTATTAAGTGAATTATTAATAATATTAATTTTACTTTCATAGCTTATTAATTTATCATTGATTGATTTGTACTTGCTATTTTGAGATTCTTCCATAGTTTTCAATTTCTTGAATATATCAGCTAATATAATAGTATTGTTTATTTGAATACTTGATTGAGTAGAAGTTTTTTTGCTAGAGTGTCGATTTTCGTATTATTCGGCATTATAAAATTATTACGTAGGTAACTATATTAATTTACAATAACTAACAGAATAGGTATCAATACACGCGAGGAACATGTTGTCTTATCAACGGTCAAAACTGAACTGTTTTGCTAACTAATTTTAGCCAATTTGGAGGTGTTAGTTATTTATTGTTTTTTAAATTTAAATTTTAACTATATAATAATTATACAACCTATGTAAATTAAATTATTATTAAAAAAAAATTTTTTTTGAAGAAATCTGTAATGGTTTTCTGCTTCATTGAATTGAGTTTCATTTTTTCAATAGTATTTTTTTGAATTTGACACACTTATCACAAGAACTTTACAACTGACCAAACGAAACTAAAATAAAACTACATTCGACTGACGACTATCGAAGAAATAAATTACGATTAGTAACGGTTAAGAAATAAAATGAAAAAGTTTATACAATATTAATTCTATAGTTATCGAAAATAATATGCTAAATTTCTACATGATTGTATAGTAAATTATAAACAAAAGAATACAGATCAAATAAATTTGCTGAATATACTTTGAACTCTCGAGTGTTGAACGGATGTTACTTTGAATTGTCACGTGTTAGTTGCAACTTTTCCCAATATTTAATTTCGAATTACCAAGTGTACTTAAATGCATTGTTTTTATTCGAATTATCGAGATTCGACTGTACATTACTGTACATACATTTAAAAGAAAGATACCACTATTAGTAATTAAAATATATACATACATATACATATATAAAATATATTTATAATAAAAAAGGCTTAGAATTTTATGTAAATGTATATTTCTTTTCATAATTTAATTTCTTTGATACATCACTAACGAGTATGAATACTAATTATTCGAATTGAATTAGCCTATATCAAATTCAAAAATTATTCATGGTGCAAATTTACAACTATCAAATTTTTTTCATAAAAGTATTCAGGCACTTTCCGCGCGAATAATATTAAGTTACCATGATGCAATAACAAGTAAAAAAAAAACTACAGAGTCCTAATTGGTTTTTAAATAATTAAGAAATAAATTGCAATTTGTAGAATAGATCTATTTCATACTTAACTGTAAAGTGACTAATTCAAAAACAATTTTATTTCATTTTATTAGAATATATATAAATGCAGTTATAAAAAAAATTCAAGTTTTATCAAATATGATAATTATTGATTATAAATTAAGATATTTTGTAACTTTTTGATATAGATAAAAAATAATTTCTAAAAACAAATATTATTATTATAGAAACATCAAAATGACGATTCATGTATTTTTTATTATTCTTCACACAAAAATTTAGTTAGTATTTGACATGGATAAAAAATAGTATCTAAAAACAAATATTATTATTTTAGAAATAAGAAAATGATAATTCATGTATTTTAATCTTATTATCATTATTCTATAAATAAAAATTTAGTAAATATAATAATAGTAAATACAATTTTTAAACTATCTTAATATTACAAATTATTAATTTAAAATTACTTATTATAAGATCCTTTTAAAATGTATATATCTAAGTCAAATAATTATGTGAATATTATGGAAAAAAGAACACATTATGAATGAAATCATAAAAACTTAATAAAATTTCTTTTTTTTTTTAATGGTCATAGTAGTTAAAAAAAAATTACTTAAAAATAATAATTAAACTGCAAAAAATATTCTAGAATTTTTCTAAACTAAAATGTCGAATCTATAGAGTTAGGTAAACTAAATGGCCCAACACGACAGTAAATATCCTTGGCTCTTACTGCAAAATGGTATTTTTCACCAGCAACAAACTAAAACAATTTTAAAATGTATACATTCATTTATTTCAAAAGTAATAATAATTACACTTACTTTAGATAATGAGCAAGCCATTGGTAAAGGAAGAGCATTGACGTTTCCAATTTCTTTCCAAAGATCACTTCTAGGAATATCTGTAGGTGATTCTATATAACCAAATATTTGATAACCAGAAATTTCAGCATGTGTGTAGTCAAGATTCATATTCCAAGAAAGCACTAATGCTATAATAATATTGATATGATTACAATTCAATATATTAATAAAAATAGTATACAGAATTTAACATCAATAATATAATAAAACCTTTTTTATCTCCAGATTTAGCAAGGGTCATTATTGGTGCAGGTGGAATTTTTTTTGATGTAGAAACATTTATTTGTAATGGAGGAGCAGGCAATGGAGCAGGATGCTGTAATATTAAATTATTTCATTACCACACATAAAATAAATAAATTAATATTTAACATCAAATAAATTCACTGAAATCATACTTTTAGTATAGGAATAGCAGAAGGTACAGGTTGTAATGGAACATTAGATTTAGAATGATGTTGAACTTGTACTGACTTCAAAGTCGATTTAACTTGTACAGGCTTTAATGTCTGTCCAACACTTACAGGTTGTTGTACTAAATTGGAAGACATAACTGAAATTATTAATATTTGTAATTACAATAATAATACAATAATATACTATACTCCATTCCACATAAGAGCAATGGTCTATCGTGAAATACAGGATTATAGATGTGGTTTACTGGTACACTCAGCAAATAAACAAGTGCTTAATGAATGCTGTCGCCAAATGAAAATGTAGTAAAATTAGATAAATATAGATAATGATCAGTTTTGGTTTTGCTTTTAAATATAATAAGAGTATATGATATTAGTACTGTATTCATGTTATACAAGTACATATTTTTTACCCTTATATAGATTTTTTATGAGGATCCCTATTCATAGAGCTTAGGCTTGTAGCATTTGCTATTTGAGTATGTCCCTACAGTTAAAATTAAATATAATTAGTTGAAAACAATTAATTTTATTTACTTGGTGATGATGCTCTTTCTATATAACCAGAATTACAATTTGATAAGTTGGGTATTTCTAGGTACGTTATGTTTTTTGGCAAAATGTGTGGCTTTGTTGTCTAAAATGATATAATTTAAATGGTATTTTTATTTTATTTTTTTTACAAATAATATACATATAAATAATGGTGGTTAAATAATTACCAGTTGTGCTGATAAAATCCCTGGTGATTCTCTTGCATTCAAAGTAGCTTGTTGTACAATTTTGGTAGGTGTTTTATCCAAACTTACTTCATTTGATACTTTAATATTATCATTATCAGTAAGATCAACGGTACAAGTATTATCTTCATTAATAGATACAGCAGGAAGAACAGATTTAATTGATACATCAATTGGTAGTTTATTTGTAATACTTGGCTTTTGCTAAAATTAAAATTAAAAATATAGACTAAGCATACAAAGTAAACCAAAATATGAATAATCAGAACTAAAAATAGTTCCATAATTTGAAGTAATTTAGAATGAAAATAAATGTATAAAAGTTAATAAATTAACAAATATTATTAATAATTACTAAAACTCAGATTGTAAGGTACTAAGAACTAAAATATATGCTTTACTATATCGTAAAAAAACCTTTATATAGGCACAATAAAATGTTTTTTTTTTTTTTAACATTTTTCAAAATTTATAATTATTTATGAATGAATACATTTATAAAAATATAAGGATTTATCTATTTTATTTTAATTTTTTTTACAATTATAATCTAAATTACGAAATTTATGAAAACACAAAATAAATAAAATTCAATGCATATTAGCAAATAATACATCTAAAATTGAAGAAATAGTACTATAAAAACTAAAATTTTGAAAATATGCAAAAATAAGTATTTATGATTTGAAATCCTTGTTAGATATAACAAACTTAAAGCTTACTCTACAATTTTTATTAGTATTCAATAATAATAAGCAAAATAAATAATACCTAGACCTTAATATTTACTTCCAATATTACATACTACATAAGTTTTTTATAGATATTAAAATTATACCTAATATTTTATAAGTTTGAAAAATTGCTTGTTTAAATAATTATCACAGTTTTGCTTCAAATATTAGTTTGAAACTTATATAAAAAAATATAAAAATTTATTTCCTGGGATATATAATAAAAATATTTAAAAAATTATATAAATTTTCTTTTATATGTGTTATACAATTTGAGAAATATTTTTCAAACTATATACATATATATATATATATATATATATATATTTATTTTAATTATTACATATATGAACATAGTGAAATATTTCAAAATTACCTTAAAATTAAAAATATAGTAAACAAAAGTTGCATTTAAAATTTTATGAAACAAATGATAACCAAAAATCATTGTTAACTATTAAATAATAATATTAAATGATTATGACACCAAAACCCTGATATGTAGAAAATAAAATAGACAGCGAGTAACATATTTCACTCCATATCTACTTATGATTGGGTTCCACCAGACCAAAAATGATAGCACTAGTACTCATTACTATTGAAATCAGTATGTTTATTGCTGAAAATTTGAACTTTAAGAAGGCTTTATATTACAGAATGAACAGTAAAAACAATCAGTTATAATGAAGTAACTTTTAATGTTTATAAAAAAAAAAAATTACAAAACAAAGTATATAAATTTTTATAGAACTATAATACTATACTAATGTCAATTATCATGGTCTAAATATTACATTTTCTAGCTGATAAAAAATTATTAATTTTATGAAAAATAAATAAGACAAAAAGTTAAAATGTTTACTTTTTTCAACATTTTAATTTTAATGGGCCTCAATACAAAAAATTATTTTCTATTTGAGATTTAACTATTTAAGTGAATCTCAACTTTCGGGCATGATGGTTCACCAACGATGGTTCTAACCTGTTCACCACTTAGTAGTATTAACCACCACAATTAATTCATGCATCACTTGATAGCATGTAAAATATCAATATTTAATACTATTTTGATTTTCTACCAATTCAACTCAGAAATGTACAATGACAAAATAAAATATAACAGATTCAAATTAATTAGTAGATTTGTTGAGTAACAAATCCTATGTTTGAATTTAATATTTACTTTTATAGGAGTTGTATTAGTTGCACATTCAACATTTTTTGAGCATGATGGTTTAGGATTTATCATATCGTCTAATACTGCAATGACATTATTTTCATCATCACTAGTAATATTCATAGCTTCACTGGGTTGTTCATGTTGCTGTACAGAAGTAGTAGCAATATTTTCTTTTAATGACTGCACACTACTATCCTAGAATTATAATATATTTCTATAAATAATTTATACAACTACATTTTGTTAATAATCAATTTACCTTTTCTGGAATTAATTCTGCTTGTAAACCTACATTTCTTGTAACTATATGTCGCCTAGCATTTGGATTGATATGCGAATTTTCCTTATTCATGTTAAAAATATTTATGAGCTCTTCACATTCTTTATGTAACAATGTATACTTTGACCTCCAAGCTTTCTCAATTTCCAAAACCTTCTGAATTTCTTTACTGCGCCTACCACCACCTAATTTTTCACTCATAACTTCAAGCATCTTTTCATTACATATACTATCAAATTTCTAAGACAAAAATTATAGTTTAATAATAACAATATTATGTCACAAAAATTGGCAACTGCTAACCATACTCTATTTTAGTTCATACATTTTAAGCAATAGGAGATTTTAGTAATAAGGAATATCATAAGCTAATATGTAATATATTTAAATTTTAATATTACAATAATAGTGCGTTGAATGTTATGAATAATATTAATATAACTATATTTATCATTTGAGGTCATAATTAATTTAGGACTTAAATTTAAATAAATGAATACTTAACAGCAAAAATTAGAAATATATTGAAACAATTGTACATAAATGTAGCAAGAGCAAGTTGACAGCTACCTGTATCAGTGACGTGTAACATAAAAAAAAAATATCTTACAACTAAATTCATATCTTTTTCCTTAAAACATTTCAATAAATCAGGAAAATCTTTATCAGCCATTTCGGTAATTCCATTCCAAATACTTAGGGTTTCTTCTTTACTAAGTACTATTCCAACATTTTTATTAATTGCTTCATCGTCAGAACTGCTATCTAATTCACCATCTTCTAAATCACTGTCACTGTCAATTAATTTATCAAACTGATGATTTGGATATGAGGGAAAATGTGCCTGTAAAATATTGTGAATACCTGAAAATGTATATAATTTAAGGAGGGTGATAGATATGGAAATGGTACATCCTAATTCATCAGTATTTGATTAATATAAATTACTTTCTAATTCATCAGATGTTTCACTGATATTTGATTCTATTTCAGATGTTTCATTGATATTTGATTCTATTTCATCTGTAAATAAGAAATTTTATCAGCATCTTCATAATAAGAATTTTTTACAAATACTAACTTGTCGGAACATGAACTATTGAATAAAGAGCTATTTTACCATTGACATTATTATTTTCACTATCCTCAACTGTTTGAGCACTAATTATTTTTATTTGAGAAATAGATGTATTATTAATTATATTACTTAATTGATTTTTATCATCAACTTTTTTACAAATAGATGTTTTACAGAGAGAAAACACATTATGATTGTCAGAACAAATGTCATTAGTAGGGGCCTTATTTTAATGCAAAGTGCATATTTTTTTTGGTTGATCACACACTTGTCATATACAGTGCTCTCTAAGAACATAATTCGTTTCATATGACGAGGGATTCAAAACTACAAATTTTATTTTGCATTTTTTTGCATATTTCAATATTTTTTCATTTTTAGGACATTTTTAGTATTATTGGATTATTTTGTTAGTTTTTAATCCATATTTATTCGATATTCTAAACAAATTTAGCCTATTCATAATAAAATCAAAAGGCAAATAATTTTCTTGATATTTAAGTAGGTTTATTGAATTCTTCCATACAAATTGTCAATTTCTATTTTTTGATTCAGTTTTTATCTTAACTTAATTTATTATTGACTATGGAATGTCACCAGTATTCGGTCAAATAACAAATAATCAGCTAGTTCGTATTACCTCGCAGACGTTGCTCGTATTACGTGTGTTTGTGATTTTAAAGTACAATATAGTGTGTTAAATAACGCCCGAAATAAAAAAAAATTATGTAATTTTTAAGGTCATTTTTGTGGTAAAATGCATTTTTAAGGACATTTTTGGCTAATTTTTAGAGCATATTTGTATAGTTTTAAGTGCATTTAAATCCGGGCCCTAGTTAATAGTAATTTTATGATTCTGATTACCTGGAATATTTTTAATACTGTTCTTTTTAAGAATTTCACTAAAAACAGAAGGATCATATGTTTTGTTTGAATTACATAATTCTTTGATTGGATTTATATTTTTAAGTTTTTTATTTAAAATTTCAATATCATTCTCTTTCAGGTTATATCTATGAATTAAGGAGGAAACTTGAAATTTTGAAATTTTTTCATTACTATTACTATTATGAACAGTTAATTTAGATTTTTTAATCTTATCACTGACTAACATTTCATCTGATAAAGTTTGTTTTAGACCAATTGTTAACTCATTAATAGGAGAAAAAGATATAGAAGTTGATTCAATGAGAACATTTAGAGGTTTACCTAAAAAATTCATAGCAAAAATTTTTAAGAGA